TCTAAAGGTACACTGCGTAACTTTTCTGGTAAACAACAGATGTTTATAGGGAAAAATAGATGTCCTGGTGCCTCAGTATTGTCTCTTTATAACTTTAAAGGTGCACTGTGTAACTTTTCTGGTAAACAAGAACAAAACAATGTAATGCAGTTGTACTGTAATCTGTAATACACAAGAAAACATCAGTTACACAGAAACAGCTGTGTAAGAAAAAACACTTAAGTGAATTAGTGGATCAATATTGTCTGTTTATGTCTAGTAGTAGTAGTAGTAGTAGATGTAGTAGTTGTAGTTGTAGCAGTAGTAGTAGTTGTTGTTGTAATAGTAGTGGTAGCAGTAGTACTAGTAGTAGCAATATCAGTAGTAGTATTTGTTGCAGTAGTAGTAGTAGTTGTTGTAATAATAGCAGTAGCAGTAGTAGTAGCAGTAATAGTGGTAGTACTAGTAGTTGTAATGGTAGTAGCCATAGTAGTAGCAGTAGCAGAAGTAGTAGTAGTAGGTGTAGTAGTAGCAGTAGCGATAGTAGTAACAGTAGTAGTAGTAGTAGTAGCAACAGTAGAAGTAGCAGCGGTAGTAATAGTAGAAGTAGATGTAGTAGCAGTAGTAAAAGTTGTAGCAGTAGTACTAGTAGTAGTAGAAGTAGTGATAGTAGTAATAGCAGCAGTAGTAGTAGTAGTAGTAGCAGTAGCAGTAGCAGTAGTAGTAATAGTAGTAGTAGTAGATGTAATAGCAGCAGTAGCAGTAGTAGCAGCGGTAGTAGTAGTAGTAGTAGTAACAATATCAGTAATAGTAATTTTTGCAGTAGTAGTAGCAGTAGTAATAGTAGCAGTAGCAGTAGTAGTATTAGTAGTAGTAGTAGTAGTAGCAGTATTAGTAGTAGTAGTAGTAGCAGTAGTAGTAGCAGTAGTAGTAGTAGTAGTAGTAATAGTAGTAGCAGTAGTAGCAGTAGTTGTTGTTGTTGTAGTAGTAGCAGAAGTAGTAGTAGTAGTAGTTGTAATAGTAGTAGTAACAATATCAGTAATAGTAATTTTTGTAGTAGTAGTAGCAATAGTAATAGTAGCAGTAGCAGTAGTAGTATTAGTAGTAGTAGTAGTAGTAGCAGTAGAAGTAGATGTTGTAGTAGTAGCAGAAGTAGTAGTAGTAGTAGTAGTTGTAATAGTGGTAGTAGAAGTAATAGTAGTACTTGCAGCAGTAGTAGTAGTGGTAGCACGACCACTACTATCACTACTTGTAATTGTAGCAGTAGTAGTAGTAATTGTAGCAGTAGTTGTAGCAGTAGTACTAGTAGTTTTAATACTAGTAGTAACTGTAGTAGTAATAGCAGTAGTAGTAATCAGAAAATACCTTTTTATTTGATTTGAATAAGATTAAATAAAAAAAAAACCCTCCTGATTTATACAATATAGAGTCAAAAAACGTGATTACTAGTACATTTTTTCTTTTCCTAATTGAAGTTAATTACAAACCTTAATGGTTCCTAACACGAGTACTTCTCCCGTCTCTGTATAATCTCCTTCTTGTATGCAGATTTCCAGTCTAATCTCCATGTGTTTTAGTGCAGCTTTGACTTTTGCTCCCTGCTGTAAGTCATAGGCCTGTAGTGTATGTCACATGTAATAGCTACTGAATTATTAACTATTATTGATCGTTACTGCCCCAAACCACTCGAGGCGCTGTTTTCTATCAAGCCATTAAAAACCCACTTAACATAACAACAACCTTGCACGCATTGACATTTCGCGGATACAACGTGACCCACACAACTGCACGACCGTTTTAAAACAATTAGAATTTATTAGTGGTTTTAAATGTGAGATTGTGCTAGAACTGAGAGATATAGTGTTGTTTTCTCGTCACGAACAGACCTGGAGTTGTGTTTTGTTTCATTCGCACATGTTTAAAGACACAAACCCTGCATGTTGAGGCTGAGTTCTTCTCTCAAACACCTTCACGAGAATAATTTGGATCATTTCAGCCCTGGAATTGACCATCTCTACTCATTTAAAGGTAAAAGGAGCTGTTAACTTCGGGGGCGGATGGAGATTTCGTGCCGGAGAAAGGCGAAAGTGAGGACCGAGGTGCCACGACTGTAGTTTTGCGAGGTCTCACATGGTTTGTAGGGATGTAGTGAAGGCGGGGGGCAATTGTTTGTCAAGGTGGTCGCCCTAACTATAAAGCGGTGCGGTAAACACTGGAAACACATGGTCATGAGCTTTGGGTAATGATCGAAAGAACAAAATCGCGGATACAAGCGGCCGAAATGAGTTTTCTTCTGCGGGGTGACTGGGCGCTCACTTAGGGATAGGGTGAAGAGCTCAGTCACACGGGAGGAGCTCGGAGTAGAGCCGCTGCTCCTCCACGTCGAGAGGAGCCAGCTTGAGGTGGCTCGGGCATCCCTCGGGAGGTTTTCCGGGCATGTCTCACCAGAAGGAGGCCCCGGGGAAGGCACGCTGGAGGGGCTATGTCTCTGGGCTGGCCTGGGAACGCCTTGGGGTCCCCCTGGAGGAGCTGGAGGAAGTGTCCGGGGTGAAGGAAGTCTGGGAGTCCTTGTTTAGGCTAAAATGGATGGATGGAAACACTGCACAATATGATACGCTTTTTGATACAGTGTACTTTCGATTTTTTACAATTCAGTACAGTATATTTCATTCATTCAATATGGTTCTGTGGAAAAAAAAAAAAAAAAAAAAGTCTAAATCATGACTCTGATGTTAAAAGTCTATTAATTCCACTAAGTCTGCACATAATTAACATGACAAAACACCCATTTTACTTCATCAAAACAGTGAAAATGTCAACACAACTGTAACTCTTACACTAAATAATTTAGTAAAATATACCTAAAAATACTCTTGACGATATATCGATACGGCAGCCCACGATATCGATACTGTATCATGAAATTAAACAATACAATACATCGATATTTGAATATTTTTGCACACCCATAATTATAACATCTTAAATCTCAGAGTCAATTTAGCCTAATATAGATGTGACTTTAAACTTGTACATCACCATAGAAATGAAGAAAAAATCTACAGAGGTACAGTAGGTGTTTGAGCAGTAAATACAGATTGAGATTTAATGCCACATTGCGGAACATTCTAAGCCACATCCTTTTTTTTTTTGGGTGAAAATCAAACCATGAATTGTATTTGTATTTGATCACAGGCTCTCGACAATGTGCTGTTTAAAACTTTTTCCGTGTTGTGTGATCGCTAATGTGCGCACTGTGTCACCATGGTAACGGCTGAACACTTCACCCATAGAGATACAAGTAGAACCCCCCCAGCACTGCAAAGTATCAATTAGTGTACTGTAGTCTAACCTGTCATACACACTTTAAACCTCTGCTCTCTCAAACTCTCCGCTCGGTTCAGATTAAACACCATAACGCGTCTGCAGAATGTACCGTACATTATCTTTAGAGAGCGCGGAGCCGTCTCGCTGCCAATCCATCTGACACGAGCGCAGCCTGCGGAGTTGTCATGGCGACGACTTATGGGGCCTAATAACTGCACTAATGAGCCATATCCAGTTTTACTTTGTCGTCGGCAGCGGAGTTGTCACGCTCCCAACCTCTTCGTTTGATTGATATCGGTTCGCGAGGGAGCAAAAAAAACGCTTAAAAGACGCCACGCGGAGATGCTATCGCTTTGTCTGGAATGTTCCGCAGTGTGGCATTAAAAATATAGCTTTAAATGTGCATTGTGGAACTTTTGGAAATTAGGGTCCATCAAATGCTTTTCTCTGCTTTGTCTGGAATGTTCCGCAGTATGGTATTAGTCATTTCTATCATCTTGAAGATCGGACCAAACTAAATCAGACCAAGTTACAGGTCAGATCTGTGGAGAGGCGACCCCGCTCACAGTCAAAATGTCTGTTTTTTGGGGTATTTTTGAGCTATAAAACCACCTGTAATTGAATAAATGTAAGATAGAGTTGTTTATGTAATGTCATTCCAGGCAGAGCAATCCATACGTATCCATAGAAACAAGCCCCCCCAACCAAAAAGTTACACAGTGCACCTTTAAACTAAACTAATCACCCTTAAAATAGAGCTGATAACTTGGACAGCACTTGGGCGACTAAAGAAAAGAGTGAGGGTGGAGGAGGGGCGGGGTCTGGAGGCATAAGGAACGCCGTGATTGGTCGAACAGGTCTCCACACTTTAAACTCCGCCCCCCCTAGTCAGATGCTTGTAATGCAGTCTTGCGTGATGTCACGTAGTACTTGAAATCGCTCGGTTCTGCTTTAATACACCTCGGAAAAACATGTATTCTTACCGTGAGGGGGCTCAGCTCTCCGCAGATCTGACTTGTAACTTGGCCTTGTGCTGTCAAAGGCTGTCAAATGATTTAGGCCATACTGTGGAATATTCTAGGCAAGGCAATAACATCTCCATGGAAACAAGCAGATGGCCTAAAGCGCATCTTTAAATACACAATTATGCAAGCTTCTTTTTATGGCACGAATATGTTTTTTTTTTTTTTTTTAAGGATTTAGAGTTTGTTTTAGTTGATTGTCCTGATTTAATCGAGGTTTAAGCTTGTTTAGTCCTTGCTTTGGTTAGTTAAAGGTGCACTATGTAACTTTTTGGCTGCTTGTTTCTATGGCTACGTCATTGCTCTGCCTGGAATGTTCCACAGGGTGACATTAAACAGCTCTAACTTACATTTATTCAATTACAGGTGGTTTTATAGCTCAAAAACACTTAAAAAAGCAGATATTTTGACTGGAAGCGGAGTCGCCTCTCCACAGATCTGACCTGTAACTTGGTCTGGTTTGGTTTCCATGGAGATAGAAAGGTTTAATACCATACTGTGAAACATTCCAGATAAAGAAATAAGGGAGAAAAGCGTTTAACGGAACTTTCACCTGGAGAGTTGCTTCAGTATTTTCTTTTTACACAATTTTTTTAAAATGGAAAAAGCTGAACAATTTTGAATTTGAAAGCCAAATAATTTCCACATCTGCTTCATCTTTCTTCTCCACAGTTTCTCCAGACCCACCAGCGTCCGACCGAGAAGACCCCGTAGTCCTCTCTGACAGCGAAGGGGCGGAGCTTCCAGACCGTCACCGCGAAACGGCAGACGAAGAGGAAGAAGAAGAAGAAGAAAGAGAAGAAAAGCGCCACGAACGACCAGACCTCCAAAACAAACAAGATGGCCGCCCCGCTGATCAAACACACGGTAATCCCACCTGCAACTCCTGCTTTTCATATATAGTGAAATTGGCTTTGGAGCATTGTCAGCTGCCCGTATAATGCTGTTTAATATTATCACTTCAGTTCAATAAGGCCTGTATCTGATTCCATATGGGGCTATGCTGTTATTATTCTTACCCATATTACTATAGGACGGTACTGGCTGTTTCCGTGGCGATAAGATATTGAAATAAGCTTGAACAATGCATATGGACTCGCCTCATTTGCATCCAATACACATATATATTTATTATTTTGTTGCTTTATCACTGGAGGACAGCCAAAAGGAAATGTTTATGTTTTTGGGAGAGCAGTTTTAAAGCCTCACTGCGTAATGTTTTAATCAAAAATAGACTAAAGCATGTTTGTTTTTTTGTTTTTTGGGGTGTTTTTATTGCTCTGAAAAATGATGTCCATACTTTGAGCAAGATTGCTTCTCCACAAACCTGACTCTTACTTCTGTTTGTTTCTGTGGGAATGTTGTTTCTTTGGCTGTACATCTCTCCTTCTATCTGTCTGTCTCTCTATCGATCTATCTACCTATTATATCTACCGTATTTTCTGGACTATAAGCCTATGTTCAGGCTGCAGGGCTTAATTCTCAGTTCGGATTTTTTTTGTGAAATTCAATATTTTTGCGACGTCGTTCACATTTCCAATTAAATGTAACTTGTCTGTGATCTCCAGTGTGAACATTAAACGGCCCAAAAGTGTCCCGCATGTGCACTGGAGACACGACGACGTCAACCGCAGCGAGCTTCTCTGTGTTTACGGAAGTTGTCCAAACATGGACGCAGCATCGAGCACCTGGAGATTTTAAAGTTCCTCTCGTACCGGAGCCAGAACATGAACAACTTACTTGTTTTAAGGAGGAGATTGAGAAGGAGAAGGACGAGGTTTTTGGTCGTGGTGTTTTGTGGGACAGTCTGTTGAAAGGAACGTGTGGATGTGGAGACGGAGCCAAGAGTGGTGAGTGGTGATGTGCTCCACTTCAGTGACATGGAGTTCATTAACAATTTTCGTATGACGAGAAGAACGTTTGTGTACATTTGTGAGCGCCTACTTGTGCCACTCTCGTGGGAGGAAACACATCTTCGGCGGCTTATTTCCGAGAGCAAACGCGTCGGCGTTGGGCTGTATTGGCTTGCAACAGGTGTTTGTTATCGCACAATAGCCAACCTCTTTGGCATAGCCAAGTCCACCGTGTGATAACGTGTGGATGGGATGAATGTGCCTTGGCCGTTCAGACTGAAGTCGCATTTCAAAAGGTCAGATATGTATCGGTTTTAGAAGCACATATCCAAGTGGCCTGGATCACATTTTGAAAAAATCTAATCTGTGTCATTAAAAGATCAGATACAGGTCACACAGGGGCCAAAAATCAGGATTTGGGTCACTTCAGGCTGCAGTGTGAGCGTAGCCTGAGTCTCTCCAGAGTATAAGTCACACCAGCCAAAAACTGAAGAAGAAAAAAACATATATAAGTCGCACTTTTTGGGGAATTTTTTTTTTTAATAAAATCAAAAACCAGGAACCGAAAGCAGAGAACAACAGACTGTTAACGTCACATATGAACAGTTCTTCAGATAAACTATAACATAAACAACAGAACAGAACAAGTTTAACAAACTCTCCATCTCACTCCAAATCACTAAATCCACTGAATTCAGTTTTTTACTGTTCACTGTTGACCAAAACATATTTTAAACTTTTGATTCATGAAAGTTTCCCCCTTGACAGATATAAAAGCTGAACACACTTGTGGCTCATTCTTTTAACAATATAAATCAAATATTTTTTAGAAAGTTCTTCCCAAGTCTGTAGCAGAAGTTCCCATAAATGTGTGGCACTTGTCGGTTACTTCACTCTTCTGTCCAGTTCATCCCAAACCAGCTCCATGAGGTTTAAATCTGGACACTGTGCTGGACACTCCATGATTTCAAGCTTTACCATCTTGTTCTTTTTTCCTGAGGTGGTTTTGGCAGAGCTTGGGCTTGTGTTTTGTATCTTTTATCTTTTTTGTTAACCTCTGGCTCTTCAGTTTGTACCATTTCAAGCTCTTCATTGGACTTGCACCACTTGAATTGCAATAAATAACTGGAAAAATTTACGTGTTCTAAAACCTTTGACCAGTAGTGTACGTACCCACATCCATATACTAGAATCATTTGGATAATTTCAGCCCAGAGTCAGTTTTGTGTAATACAGGACCATTAAGTAGTACTAGTATTCGTAGTAATAGCAGTTGTGGTGTTGAATTTGTTATAGAAATAGACAAAATTTAATTGTTACCTCATGAATCTGCGAGGATCTAACTCTTAATCCTATACCTGGTTGCCATTTGAATTGTAAAACAGTTGTTGTAATTACATATTTTTATTGCACAATCCATCCCCTTTTTTCTCGGCTCTTGACAGGTTGTTGAAATTCTTCTTCTTCTTCTTCTTCTTCTTCTCCTTTTCTTTCTAAAGGTTCTGTAAAAAGAAGAAGAAAAACTTAAAAAATTAACTTTTTAAAAACATTACATTGACACCATGAGTCACTCACAGCTTCATGTCCTCAAGCTACCCCAGTCACAAATATAATTCAACTTCGTTCTCGCAAAAACTGAAAATAAATATGCAAATTAGCTCCCCTATCGTTACAATCTGCCTTTGTCTCCACGGTAACAGCGTTTTAGCATAGCGTTTGTGTAGTGTATGTTTTATTTCATTAGTGTAACCTTTGGGGATGATATGTCAGCTCCCAGATCAAGTCCAGGATAATAATGCCATACTGTGGAACATTCTAGGCAACTCAGCAACAACAACACAGACAAGCATTTAGTACACACTCTAATAAAAAAGTTACATAGTGCATCTTTTTGTGGTTTTAATATGTTTTAGGTTAAAATGTTACTTTTACTGTGCATTGTGTAAATTTTCCAATGGTCCGTCAAGTGCTTGTTTCCATGGAGATGTTACTGCTTTGTCTGCAGTGTTTCACAGTATGGGCATTAAACATTTCTATCTTCACGGAGACCAAACCAGACCAAGTTCCAGGTCAGGTCTGCGGAGAGGCGACCCCGCTCACTGTCAGAATTGCGGAATTTATTACACGAGAGCTTTAATTCCGATGAAAAATAATTGAATTCGGAATAAAAAATTAAAAGACGATGTAAACACTTAATTCCTAATGATTTTTCAGAATTAATTCCAATTTTAAAGCCAAATTAATTTATTCCGCGATCATGTAAACCAGGCATGTCTAGACTATGGGCCGTGGGCTAAATGCGGCCCTCAGACAAATTTTTCTTGGCCCTCAGGCTTCCAGGAGAATTAGCCCAAATTACCTTGCATCAACTAAAAAGTTAACTTTTTATTGCAAGTTTTTTGACAATCTACCTTGGTAAAGCTAATTATTAATATTTAGTGTGTGGTTTTGAGGATCTTAGCATAAATAAAGGACTGGTGGCTCATTTTAACGTATTAAACATGCACGTATTTCAGTTTTTCACTATAATGAGCACCAGTCTACGGCCGTCTGCTTCATCTGTGTTTCGAGATGTGGCCCTTGATGAACAAAGTTTGGACACCCCTGATGTAAACGTTTATTCCGTTAAAAAAATAATAATTCCGGTCGTTCAGCGCGTTCACGTTGGGTCGCCCTTCTGACGCGATGACGCACTGCAAGATGGTGAAAAAAAAGTTTGTATCATGTTTGTGTCCCTGTGCCTCTGTGTATCGAGCAAGACCACTGGATCCATGCGGCGAAGGTGAAACTGCGCTGTGGCTGCTCCTGTCCTCTGCGCTCGAGGATTGTGGCCGGTACTGAGGTGGTGCAGAACATCCAGACAGAAGCGTGAATCCGGTTTGGTTTGTTATATGTCATTTTGAGCGTCCAACCTCCGTGGTCTTAGTTCTAGGATTTTAGAGATTTGTGCGGCGATTTTGGGTTATGAAACGTTTTTAACATCGTATCATGGGATTTTAACTGACTACGAAGTGATTTTAATCAGCTACGAAGTGATTTTAACCGAGTACGAAGTGATTTTAACCAACTACGAGGTGAATTTAATCAGCTACGAAGTGATTTTAACAAACTACGAAGTGATTTTAACCAACTGCAAAGTGATTTAACGACTAAAAAGTGATTTTAATCAGCTACGAAGTGATTTTAACCGACTACGAAGTGATTTTAACCAACTACGAAGTGATTTTAACCAACTACGAGGTGAATTTAATCAGCTACGAAGTGATTTTAACAAACTATGAAGTGATTTTAACCAACTACAAAGTGATTTTAACCAACTGCAAAGTGATTTAACGACTAAAAAGTGATTTTAATCAGCTACGAAGTGATTTTAACCAACTACGAAGTGATTTTAACCAACTACGAAGTGATTTTAACAAACTACAAAGTGATTTTAACCAACTAAGAAGTGATTTTAACCAACTAAGATGTGATTTTAACCAACTACGAAGTGATTTTAACCAACTACAAAGTGATTTTAACCAACTACAAAGTGATTTTAACCAACTACAAAGTGATTTTAAACAACTACAAAGTGATTTTAAACAACTACAAAGTGATTTGAACCAACTACAAAGTGATTTTAACCAACTAAGCACATGCAATTCACAAGGTACAAGTAAAGGATTGCTGGATTGTGTGAAATGTTGTGTTTTTTTCCCGTATCCATGGAGACCAGAGAGTAGCTAAGGAGCGAGCTATGAGATGTTACGGATTTGTTACTCCATATGAGGCAGTAAATTTGGCAGAATACTGCTGCTCCTGTCCTCTGTGCTCGAGGATTGTGGCCGGTACTGAGTTGGTGCAGAACATCCAGACAGAAGCGTGAATCCGGTTTGGTTTGTTATATGTCATTTTGAGCGTCCAACCTCCGTGGTCTTAGTTCTTCCGTGGGGAAAGCGCTTCTCAGGCCGAGGCTCCTAACACCACTGCCCGCTCCACCTCATCTGGGTCCGACCTGAACCGGAGCTGCTC